TAAGCAAATCCAGACAAACTCAAAAACCTTCTCATCTAACTTTCTTAAAAACAAAATATTCTAATAAATGTCTTACAAATTCCACAGAACAACAATGTTTATTTTACCTGGATCATCTTATTAATTATATTCTCATGCTGTCGCTCCTGCAGAACAACCAGAATCCTCATCTTTCTCCTGCCAAACCAAACCGCTCTCACACTCTGCCGCTTCCCCTTTCTCTCAGAACAGACGGTTGAGAAATGGGGAAACATGTTCAGGAAAAAAAAAAAAATAACACCTCTCCCCTCTTTCTCTCCAGTCCACGGTTAGCTAACCCTTAGTCTTCTTAGTTGGATAACGCTCTCCAAAGCTATCAGCTTTCTACACCCAGGCAGCCCCCTCCCTATCCTCCAGCACCATACGGACCCCACCCTACCCTGCTGTAACCCTGGCCTGCTTTGTTTTGGCCTTCTCTGGCCTGCTCTAGCCCTGTTTTGGCCTGCTCTGGCCTGCTCTAGCCCTGTTTTGGCCTGCTCTGGCCCTGTTTTGGCCTGCTCTGGCCCTGTTTTGGCCTGCTCTGGCCTGCTCTAGCCCTGTTTTGGCCTGCTCTGGCCTGCTCTAGCCCTGTTTTGGCCTGCTCTAGCCCGGTTTTGGCCTGCTCTAGCCCTGTTTTGGCCTGCTCTAGCCCTGTTTTGGCCTGCTCTGGCCCTGTTTTGGCCTGCTCTGGCCCTGTTTTGGCCTGCTCTAGCCCTGTTTTGGCCTGCTCTAGCCCTGTTTTGGCCACTGTTAGCCATGTGTCAGAGGTGTGTTAACTCTCACAGCCAGACTGGATCCATGGTCTCGGACTAGACATTCAACTGCCCTGCTCCAAAAAACAACCAACTACCACCCTCCCCCCAAAACAAATCTATGGTGTCCGACAACACAAACCAGCATGGACAAACAGAGACACAGCTATCAATGTGTTGATACGCCAATAACAGGGTGGGTCGACTTTCAGTGAAGACAGAAGAGGATTCCATAATCAACTGCTTGCTGCGATTGCAATCTACAAAAAAGGCACACTGTGTGTGTTTCACTTGAAGAAGTGGGACAACAGATGACTCATTCATCTCCAGGAGTGAATGCATAGTCACGTGTTGTTGGTATGATATTTGGCTACATACCGTGTTGGCTAGTTGTAGTCCAGAGTCGATCAACTTAAAGAACTCATCGTTGAGACCGGATTCAAGACTGATGATGCCATCGATCACATCTTCCATCTGAAAGACAAAACAGCTCTGGGGTCAATAGAAGAGATCACATTCATCCTCCCTCCCATGTACACTGAACAAAAATTATAAAATGCATCAGTGTTGGTCCCATGTTTCATGAGCTGAAATAAAAAAAGGACACCAGAAATGTTCTCATGCACACAAAAAGCTTATTTCTCAAAAATGTTGTGCACAAATTAGTTTGCATCCCTGTTAGTGAGCATTTCTCCTTTGCCAAGATAATCCATCCACCGGACAGGTGTGGCATTTCAAGAAGCTGATTAAACAGCATGATCATTACACAGGTGCACCTTGTGCTGGGGACAATAAAATGCCACTATAAAATGTGCCGTTCTGTCACACAACACAATGCCACAGATGTCTCAAGTTTTAAGGGAGCGTGCAATTGGCATGCTGACTGCAGGAATGTCCACCAGAGCTGTTGCCAGAGAATGTAATGTTAATTTCTCTACAATAAGCCGCCTCCAACGTCGCTTTAGAGAATTTGGCAGTACGTCCAACCGACCTCACAACCACTGACCACGTGTAACCACGCCAGCCCAGGATCTCCACATCCGGCTTCTTTACCAGCGGGATGGTCTGAGACTCAGCCATCCGGACAGCTGATGAAACTGTAGGATTGCACAACGGAATAATTTCTACACAAACTGTCAGAAACCATCTCAGGGAAGCTCATCTGCGTGCTCGTCGTCCTCACCAGGGTCTTGACCTGACTGCAGTTTGGCGTCGTAACCAACTTCAGTGGGCAAATGCTCACCTTCGATGGCCAGTGGCACGCTGGAGAAGTGTGCTCTTCACGGATAAATTCTGGTTTCAACTGTACCGGACAGATGGCGTTGTGTGGGTGAGCGGTTTGCTGATGTCAACGTTGTGAACAGAGTTATGGTATGGACAGGCATAAGATACGGACAATGAACACAATTGCATTTTATCGACGGCAATTTGAAGGCCCATTGTCGTGCCATTCATCCGCCGCCATCACCTCATGTTTCAGCATGATATTGCGCGGCGCCATGTTGCAAAGATCTATACACAATTCCTGGAAGCTGAAAATGTCCCGCTTCTTCCATGGCCCGCACACTCACCAGACATGTCACCCATTAAGCATGTTTGGGATGCTCTGGATTGAAGTATACGACAGCGTTCCAGTTCCCGCCAATATCCAGCAACTTCTCACAGCCATTGAAGAGGAGTGTGACAACATTCCACAGGCCACAATCAACAGCCTGATCAACTCTATGCGAAGGAGATGTGTCACGCTGCATGAGGCAAATGGTGGTCACACCAGATACTGACTGGTTTTCTGATCCACACCTCTACCTTAAAAAAAAAAAAGGTATCTGTGACCAACAGATGCATTTATATATTCCCAGTCATGTGAAATCCATAGATTAAAGGCCTAATGCATTTACTTCAATTGACTGATTTCATTTTATGAACTGTAACTCAGTAAAATCTTTGAAATTGTTGCATGTTGCGTTTATATTTTTGTTCAGTGTAGTTTACAGAAACAACATTTGGATCCTTGGGTCTTCACCAGGGGCTGTATCTAGTGTTTCAGAGTAGAAGTGCTATTCTTTGATCAGTTCAGCCTTTTAGATTACATGTGGTCCTCTGTAGCTCAGTTGGTAGAGCATGGCTCTTGCAATGATAAGATAGTGGGTTCGATTCCCGGGACCATACATAAAATATGTATACACGCATGACTAAGTCACTTTGGATAGACGTGTCTGCTAAGTGGCATATATTAGGATACGGGGATAGGATAGGGGGATACGGAGATAGGATAGGGGGATAGGGGGATACGGAGATAGGATAGGGGGATACGGAGATAGGATAGGGGATGGGCTTAAAAGGGGACCTGATCTTAAACCAGCACTCCTACTCTACGCTCCCTGATACAAACAGTACATACGCTCCCTGATACATACAGTGGGGAGAACAAGTATTTGATACACTGCCAATTTTGCAGGTTTTCCTACTTACAAAGCATGTAGAGGTCTGTAATTTTTATCATAGGTACACTTCAACTGTGAGAGACGGAATCTAAAACAAAAATCCAGAAAATCACATTGTATGATTTTTAAGTAATTCATTTGCATTTTATTGCATGACATAAGTATTTGATACATCAGAAATACAGAACTTAATATTTGGTACAGAAACCTTTGTTTGTAATTACAGAGATCATACGTTTCCTGTAGGTCTTGACCAGGTTTGCACACACTGCAGCAGGGATTTTGGCCCACTCCTCCATACAGACCTTCTCCAAATCCTTCAGGTTTTGGGGCTGTCGCTGGGCAATACGGACTTTCAGCTCCCTCCAAAGATTTTCTATTGGGTTCAGGTCTGGAGACTGGCTAGGCCACTCCAGGACCTTGAGATTCTTCTTACGGAGTCACTCCTTAGTTGCCCTGGCTGTGTGTTTTGGGTCGTTGTCATGCTGGAAGACTCAACCACGACCCATCTTCAATGCTCTTACTGAGGGAAGGAGGTTGTTGGCCAAGATCTCGCGATACATGGCCCCATCCATCCTCCCCTCAATACGGTGCAGTCGTCCTGTCCCCTTTGCAGAAAAGCATCCCCAAAGAATGATGTTTCCACCTCCATGCTTCACGGTTGGGATGGTGTTCTTGGGGTTGCTCTATTTTTGTCTCATCAGACCACATGACCTTCTCCCTTTCCTCCTCTGGATCATCCAGATGGTCATTGGCAAACTTCAGACGGGCCTGGACATGCGCTGGCTTGAGCAGGGGAACCTTGCGTGCGCTGCAGGATTTTAATCCATGACGGCGTAGTGTGTTACTAATGGTTTTCTTTGAGACTGTGGTCCCAGCTCTCTTCAGGTCATTGACCAGGTCCTGCCGTGTAGTTCTGGGCTGATCCCTCACCTTCCTCATGATCATTGATGCCCCACGAGGTGAGATCTTGCATGGAGCCCCAGACCGAGGATGATTGACCGTCATCTTGAACTTCTTCCATTTTCTAATAATTGCGTCAACAGTTGTTGCCTTCTCACCAAGCTGCTTGCCTATTGTCCTGTAGCCCATCCCAGCCTTGTGCAGGTCTACAATTTTATCCCTGATGTCCTTAAACAGCTCTCTGGTCTTGGCCATTGTGGAGAGGTTGGAGTCTGTTTGATTGAGTGTGTGGACAGGTGTCTTTTATACAGGTAACGAGTTCAAACAGGTGCAGTTAATACAGGTAATGAGTGGAGAACAGGAGGGCTTCTTAAAGAAAAACTAACAGGTCTGTGAGAGCCGGAATTCTTACTGGTTGGTAGGTGATCAAATACTTATGTCATGCAATAAAATGCAAATTAATTACTTAAAAATCATACAATGTGATTTTCTGGATTTTTGTTCCATCTCTCACAGTTGAAGTGTAGCTATGATACAAATTACAGACCTCTACATGCTTTGTAAGTAGGAAAACCTGCAAAATCGGCAGTGTATCAAATACTTGTTCTCCCCACTGTACATACGCTCCCTTGCCTCCCAGCACCTTTGGTCAGACATCCAGCCAGACTGATCTAGCGTGTTAGACCGGATTAGTCAGGCTGAGTCATTCATAGAAAACCTCACTAAAACACTCCACACAGCACTTCATAAATGAGGCACAAATTCACAAGCCACCATGAAATCTTCTACGACAAGGCTTCTTCAGACTCCTTCCTCAAAGTAAACCACTCCTTTTTTCAAATGTAAGACCTTTGACACACCGACTTTAAATTCCAGTTAAATTCCATGTTAATAAAACTTTTTTCCATCCCCTCAGGGGCACAGTAATTATTATTTTACTCCAGAAGTGCCAATAAAGCTTGAATCTGCTATGTCATGTTTTTAAGAATGAATACACAGACCGACAGACAGCGGAGTACACCTTTAACTGAAGTCTTCGTGGTGTGAAGTGTGCAAGAGGTCATTCGCCTAGAACTGTTGTATTTGACAGAACAATGTTGTACTGAATACACATAGCAAGGTGCAGGAGAGAGGAGACAGACCAGCGCCAGTCAAGACAGACACACAGGCAGCTAGACAGCCAGACAGACAGACAGGCTAATGTGCAGTACCAAACAAACTGAGCCACAGGGAAAGGTGCAGGAGACAGGAGACAGCTCGAGACTTGTCTACAACAGCATGCTATTGTTATTACAGGGGGAACTACTGTTGAATTTTAAAGGAACTGAAATACCAAGACAGTGTAATATATATATATATATATGGGACACACAAGATGTGGTTAAAATGAATCTTCTACAGATAGAGGACATTCTAGACCGAGTTGCAGTACGTCTTGTTTCACAGAATAAAGTTTGATTCTTTAGGTCACAGCATTAAAAAAATATGTTCCTCATATCAGTTGCGGAAGACACAAAGTTATAGAAATGTATTGCATAGAACAGAGGTGATTGTCATGTAGAATAGGAAAGGGGTTCTCAAACATTTTGGGGCCAGGGACCGCTTTCGTGATAGCAAATTCATCAGGGACCCCCCCTCATAATCAAAACACAACTGGAGTTAAATATAAAAAAGATATATATACCATACAAGGACTTTTACTATGACTTCGACCGTGCATGGCCGGACAAACCAAGTGTTAGGCCCTGGGAAGGAACATTTTAAAAAGGCCCGCCTCTTGGCATCGAAGAGAACATTTAGCACATTTCTACACATTCTGTCATGGGGCAGAGAGAATTTTTTTGTTGTTGCAGCTTTTAAAAAAGGTAATATCCTGCAATTCTACACATTTTTTCCATGAGGCAGAGAGACAACTTTGCAGTTTTAAAAGCTTAAAATTACAGTACATTTATGTTAATACAAAATATTTGGGGGAATAGACGAAGCATTGAGTTGAAAATTGATAAATTGTTGGAGTACTGTAGATGCCAATATCCCAGTGATCCTCCAGGCCCTTGTTGCCCAGGGTTAAGAACATAAATAGCAGATTAATAATATTACATTGTACTGCATAACACCCTCTAAAACTTATTTCACGGATTCCTTGGCCAAATTTAGTTGAATCTATTATTTGTTAGTAATATTCATACAACATGATAATGAATAAAACCGTAAAAAGGTTCTATATTTTGAGATCTGGTCGCGACCCCCCCTGCTGTACCTCCTCTTTGTTGGAGCTGAGCAGTGGAGTGCCAGGGGTGCTAATGGCTGCAGGCTGGAGCTCGGGGGCGGATCCGGAGTGAGGTGAGGGGGAGGCGCCCAGCATCTGATTGGTCAGTTTGTTCCCCAGGGTGGAGGAGAGGTAGTGTTTCACCTGCTGTCTCTGAGAGGCCTGGATGTGGTACTTAGTGGGGTTCTCCAGGTGGGTCTGAACCTAGAGGAGAGAGAGAGAGAGATGGGGGTTAGTTAGAGTAGAGGCCTGGATGTGGTACTTAGTGGGGTTCTCCAGGTGGGTCTGAACCTATAGGAGAGAGGGGGGGGGGGGGGGGGGGGGGACGAGGAGAGAGAGACAGAGAGATGGGAGAGCGGAGAGAGAAAGAGGGAGAGATGGGAAGATAAGTGAATGAGGAAATGCAGGTATAATGCATTATAATGTGGTTATAATGCAGGTATAATGCATTATAATGTGGTTATAATGTGGTTATAATGCATTATAATGTGGTTATAATGCAGGTATAATGCATTATAATGTGGTTATAATGCAGGTATAATGCATTATAATGTGGTTATAACGCACTGTAAGACTAGTCATCAACATGTATGGCCTCCTTATAAATGTCATACAATATCTGCAACTCCTCCCACTTCGATTTAATAAGAACAAACAGATAAAACGTTTGTGGTCACAAGCAAACCCAGTCCTCTGGAAACCCAGTCCTCCCCATACCCAACCCAGTCCTCTGGAAACCCAGTCCTCCCCATACCCAACCCAGTCCTCTGGAAACCCAGTCCTCCCCATACCCAACCCAGTCCTCCCCATACCCAACCCAGTCCTTCCCATACCCAACCCAGTCCTCCCCATACCCAACCCAGTCCTCCCCATACCCAACCCAGCCCTCCCCATACCCAACCCAGCCCTCCCCATACCCAACCCAGTCCTCCCCATACCCAACCCAGCCCTCCCCATACCCAACCCAGTCCTCCCCATACCCAACCCAGTCCTCCCCATACCCAACCCAGTCCTTCCCATACCCAACCCAGTCCTCCCCATACCCAACCCAGTCCTCCCCATACCCAACCCAGCCCTCCCCATACCCAACCCAGCCCTCCCCATACCCAACCCAGTCCTCCCCATACCCAACCCAGCCCTCCCCATACCCAACCCAGCCCTCCCCATACCCAACCCAGTCCTCCCCATACCCAACCCAACCCAGCCCTCCCCATACCCAAACCCAGTCCATCCCCATACCCAACCCAGTCCTCCCCATACCCAACCCAGTCCTCCCCATACCCAAACCCAGCCCTCCCCATACCCAACCCAGCCCTCCCCATACCCAACCCTCCCATACCCAACCCAGTCCTCCCCATACCCAACCCAGCCCTCCCCCATACCCAACCCAGCCCTCCCCATACCCAACCCAGTCCTCCCCATACCCAACCCAGACCTCCCCATACCCAACCCAACCCAGTCCTCCCCATACCCAACCCAGCCCTCCCCATACCCAACCCAGTCCTCCCCATACCCAACCCAGACCTCCCCATACCCAACCCAGTCCTCCCCATACCCAACCCAGTCGTCCCGAAGCCCAGTCGTCCCCAAGACCAGCCCTCCTCAATCCCTCCCCAAGACTAGCCCTCCTCAATCCCTCCCCAAGTCCAGTCCTCCCCAAGCCCTCCAGGATGTATTGACAGATGATGTAGGTAAACAGGCTGAAAGGGTCATGGCTCCTGCACTATAGCATCTTATTATCATGTCCGCCATTCTGATATGCTCCAACTGTCATTTCTTTGACACACAAACAGACCAGTCGTTCTTTAGTGAATAGCAACCCCAACAGCCCTCCGAGAGCCTCAGGCAAGTCATGACCTACATTGAGGACAGGGGGTTGTCATATGACCTACCTTGAGGACCTCCACAGGGACCTGGGCAGGGGGTGGTCGGGCCCCGCTATGCTCCGAGGCCATGGAGATGGCTGGGGAGGAGTCGGTGTTGCGTAGCTGGGCTGAGGAGACCTGCTGCTGGGCCTCTCTCCTCTCCTGGTCCCTTGCCTGCTGGCGCATCAGCTCCTGCCTCATCAACACCCGGGACGTCATCACTGGGCCGGAGGAGGGAGACGCCGTGTCAGATGGGGGCTGGGACACGCTGCAGGCGGAGGGTGGGAGGACAGAGTTTAAAAAAACAACATACAGTTGAAGTCGGAAGTTTACATACACCTTAGCCAAATACATTTAAACTCAGTTTTTCACAATTCCTGATACTTCATCCTTGTAGCCTTCCACAAGCTTCCCACAATAAGTTGGGTGAATTTTGGCCCATTCCTCCTGACAGAGCTGGTGTAACTGAGTCAGGTTTGTAGGCCTCCTTGCTCGCACACGCTTTTTCAGTTCTGCCCACACATTTTTTATAGGATTGAGGTCAGGGCTTTGTGATGGCCACTCCAATTCCTTGACTTTGTTGTCCTTAAGCCATTTTGGCACAACTTTGGAAGTATGCTTGGGTTCATTGTCCATTTGGAAGACCCATTTGCGACCAAGCTTTAACTTCCTGACTGATGTCTTGAGATGTTGCTTCAATATATCCACATAATTGTCCTTCCTCATGATGCCATCTATTTTGTGAAGTGCACCAGTCCCTCCTGCAGCAAAGCACCCCCACAGCATGATGCTGCCACCCCCGTGCTTCACGGTTGGTATGGTGTTCTTCGGCTTGCAAGCCTTCCCCTTTTCCCCTCTTCATCAGACCAGAGGACATTTCTCCAAAAAGTACGATCTTTGTCCCCATGTGCAGTTGCAAACCGTAGTCTGGCGTTTTTATGGTGGTTTTGGAGCAGTGGCTTCTTCCTTGCTGAGCGGCCTTTCAGGTTATGTCGATATAGGACTCGTTTTACTGTCGATATAGATACTTTTGTACCCGTTTTCTCCAGCATCCTCACAAGGTCCTTTGCTGTTGTTCTGGGATTGATTTGCACTTTTCGCACCAAAGTACGTTCATCTCTAGGAGACAGAACGCGTCTCCTTCCTGAGCGGTATGACGGCTGCGTGGTCCTATTGTTTGTACAGATGATCGTGGTACCTTCAGGCGTTTGGAAATTGCTCCCAAGGATGAACCAGTGTATCAAATACTTGTTCTCCCCACTGTACATACGCTCCCTTGCCTCCCAGCACCTTTGGTCAGACATCCAGCCAGACTGATCTAGCGTGTTAGACCGGATTAGTCAGGCTGAGTCATTCATAGAAAACCTCACTAAAACACTCCACACAGCACTTCATAAATGAGGCACAAATTCACAAGCCACCATGAAATCTTCTTCTAGTAGGCTTAAATGGAAGATATGGCAAATAGGAGTGGCAATATCGTCCGCTGTTATCCTCAGTCATTTTCCATCCAAGTTGTCAGACCCCGGTGGCTTGTCATTGTTGATCGACAACAATAATTGTTTCACCTCTTCCACACTTACTTTACGGAATTCATAATTACAATGCTTGTCTTTCATAATTTGTTCAGATATACTTGGATGTGTAGTGTCAGCAATTGTTGTTATGCCTAAGCTTGCTAATCTTGCCAATGAAAATTATTAAAGTAGTATCAGATGGTTTTGTGATGAATGAGCCATCTGATTCAATGAATGATAGAGCTGAGTTTGCCTTTTTCCCAAAAATTTCATTTAAGGCGCTCCAAAGCTTTTTACTATCATTCTTTATGTCATTTATCCTTGTTTCATAGTGTAGTTTCTTCTTCTTTTTATTCAGTTTGTCACATGATTTCTCAATTTGCAATACGCCAAATCGGTTGTGCAGCCAGACTTATTTGCCATTTATTTTGCCTCATCCCTCTCAACCATACCATTTTTTAATTCCTCATCAATCCACAAGGATTTAACAGTTTTTAAAGTAATTTTCTTAATGGGTGCATGAGGCATTCAGTGGACTTCAGAATATGAATGGCATTTGTTATTAGCCAGTTATTGATTTCATGAACCTTGTTCCTTAAGCTACATATGTTAATGTAAGCTATTTTGAGCACTTTTCTGGGATGCTTGATTGTTTTTATTGCTTTACTGGGAAGCTTAGCAGAAGTAGACATGCTCATGTTATTTATGTTTGAGCTGATATTGCAGCTGCCCACTGCACTGAGGCTAGGAAACACTATCACCACCGATAAATCTACAATTATCGAGAATTTCAACAAGCATTTTGCTACGGCTGGCCATGCTTTCCACCTGGCTACCACTACCCCGGCCACCAACTCTGCACCCTCCGCTGCAACTTTCCCATGCCCCCCTGGACCTATGGCCGTCTCTATGGGGGTGCCACAGGGTTCAATTCTTGGGCCGACTATTTTCTCTGTGTATATCAATGATGTCGCTCTTGCTGCTGGTGACTCTCAGATTCACCTCTACGCAGACGACACCATTTTGTATACATCTGGCCGTTCATTGGACACTGTGTTAACAAACCTCCAAACGAGCTTCAATGCCATACAACACTCCTTCAGTAGCCTCCAACTGCTCTTAAACACTAGTAAAACTAAATGCATGCTCTTCAATCTAACGCTGCTGGCACCCACCCACCCGACTAGAATCACTACTCTCGACGGGTCTGACCTAGAGTATGTGGACAACTACAAATACCTAGGTGTCTGGTTAGACTGTAAACTCTCCTTCCAGACTCAAATTAAGAATCTCCAATCCAAAGTTAAATCTAGAATCGGCTTCCTATTTCGCAACAAAGCCTTCTCTCATGCTGCCAAACATGCCCTCGTAAAACTGACTATCCTACCGATCCTTGACTTCGGCGATGTCATTTACAAAATAGCCTCCAACACTCTACTCAGCAAATTGGATGTAGTCTATCACAGTGCCATCCGTTTTGTCACCAAAGCCCCATATATTACCCACCACTGACCTGTACGCTCTTGTTGGCTGGTCCTCACTACATATTTGTCGCCAAACCCACTGGCTCCAGGCCATCTATAAATCACTGCTAGGCAAATCCCCGCCTTATCTTAGCTCATTGGTCACCATAGCAACACCCACCTGTAGTATGCGCTCCAGCAGGTATATCTCACTGGTCATCCCCAAAGCCAACACCTCCTTTGGCCGCCAT